TCTGTCAAGGCCACGAGCCTCGTAGGCTTTGATCACGTGTTCTATAGTGACTGAGTGCGCTAAAGGTCAAACCTCTTCAAAAGGTCTAGATTGGGGAGAATTTACCACTTGGTGTTTCGTGTAGCTTTATGGTAATAATTGAATCTTTGACAAGCCTTGTGAGATTTTTACCTTCTCCCCCATAAACAGTTTATGGAGAAAGTATTGATTTCGTCAAAATTTTAGAGTTTAAGTTTTGGTTGGAAAGAGCCGTTTTTGGGCCCCCCCTGAACAAAAAAGTGGTTTTCGAAGTGTGTCTGAGTAAAAAACTGTGGCTTCTAAATTGTGTTAAATAACACAATTGTCTTTTTCCTTCCTTCTGTTATCATTATCAATTGAGATAGGGACGTCACCAAGGTGTGTATTTTAACCCAATATGAGTGGTTTTAGTTACATGATATGACTATTTATTTTTCTAAGATCTTTCACTGGGGAGATACTTGGTCAAGTCACTTACTTATATTATGTCTTTTACTAATTGTTCAGAGTTGTACTGAACAGATTGTAAAATAAAATAAAGTAAAAAAAAGAATGATGTGAGATGATTCCTGTAGCTGTGTACTGACAAGATAAGCTGTAATGATTGATTTAAATAATTAAATCTTCAACACCACAGTGTACGGTCGACACGAATTATTTGAGAGCAACTCATGAAACTTGAGAACAGATTAGAACCCCTCCCAGTTCCCACCACAAATCACCCGCCAAATTTGACCGCCTGGTAATTTGATCATGCCCCATCACACCTTCTACGCCCGACCATAAAATTTGTTGATTAAAAGTTTTGACTCTCCAATAATCATAGCTTCCGTCTACAAAATAAGGAAACAGAACTAAAGGTGTGTTTAGAGCTGGTTCAGATTCCATTTAAAGATACTTAGTTTTTATTTGCAAATTGTCATAGCACCATCCGATTAAACCATGAAAACTCGTTTAAGGAACTACATAAACAGTATTTACGCGTTCTTGGATATGCATAACCTATATTTCTTATCATATTATGACTGACAGCTGAGTCAATGCCAGTACTAGTGACATGTTTGAGGACAAGTCATTCGCACTGATACAAGTAGTTTTGCGTAAGCTGATAACATTAACGGTCTGTATGTATGAGTCAATGTGGTCGTTGGCACTGGTATGGTAACCCCATGTCATCACCATATGACCGCTGAATAACCCCATAACATCATCATATGACCGTGGTATAACCCCATAACATCACCAAATGATCACTGCAAAATGTCATTTCAACTTTAGACCGACTTATACTACATATTATGGTGATAAATGTTGGACATGTTTCTAAATATATATAGTCTGTACGATGGAACCTGTGTTCTGATCGGGTCCAGCCAATGGTTTTAAGGCCTGGGCCAGTCCCCAGGTAGACAGAGGGGCAGGAGACAGGTTCCATCATACAGACTATAGACAATATAGTTTTAAGCGTTCATGTGATATGATTGAGACCCCCCTGAATATGCTAGACAAGCTGGTGAAATGTACCTAGGGTAATATAAACTACTGCTCAAGAGCAGAGTCAACAAAAAATAAGGAAGTATTTTAATATAATTCAAGTTCCTAGAACTTTTCAAGATCTTAGACCTAGAATCTCAAGAGAGTAAAAACATATTGTAGCACTGAAAACACTATAATTTAAATGACCAATATCATCAGCAAATAGCTCATAAAACCCCATAATATAACCAAACAACCTCTGAAAAACCTCACAATATCTCTATTTGACTCTTGAAAACCCCATAATATCATGAAATGACCTGTAGAACCCCATAACATCACATATTCGACCGCTACACATAAGTGTTTTCACCCAAGAGTTATTTGTCCAGTATAAATGTTTGGCTGATTTGATTTGAGTTTCAAATTTCGCACAAGTAAACAATACATTAGGTCTGCTCAGTGTATAATTTTAGCATTGTTGGTGTGTTTCATAACGAGCGTGGTTTAGCAATGATAGTTGTAGTAAGATATCGGCCATAACTTTGAATATTAAATTGAGTATATAGTCAATGTTTATCGTTTTCTGACGTTTTCGTAAATTAGCGGTCGCAGTCGACGTTATCCTTTGTGTCGTAGACTATTGGTTCTAATATTGTAGTAGTCGTCGTGCATTTTTTGGTTGTAGTATCGTATATCATTGGCAGATATCTATGTAGACTGTAGATTGTTGTTGTCGTAGATTATTGGTTTCAGCTATCTCGTAGACTAGAAGTTGACGTTATTATTGGTTGTCGTCTACGACGTTGTTGACGTTTTTTAGGTCCGTAGTTATCGTAGACTTTCGTTATGAATTCTCGTTGTTATCGTAGATGGTTTTCGTTGACTATTGTATGTACTTGGTTTCGTTTAGGGTCGTAGTTATCGTAGACTCTCGTTTCTAACTGTCGTAGTTGTCGTAGATTCTCGTTCTCAATTGTCGTTGTTGTCGTAGAGGTTTCTAAGTGTGGTTGACTACTGTATAGCTTGTAGTTTTCGTTGACTATCGTATCTAGTTAACGTCGTTTGGGGTCGTAGTTATCGTAGACTATCGTAGTTATCGTAGACTATCGTAGTTGTCGTAGTTGTCGAACGGTTCTAATTGTCGTTGACTATAGCATGTAGTTATCGTAGACTATTGATTGTGTTTGTCAGGTTCTCGTAGGCAACCGTGGTCGTAGCTGTTGTATACTAGACTTATCGTTATCTCATAGACTTGCGGAGACCGCTATAGCGGTTGTAGTTGTCGTAGTATCGTCGTAGGCTCCCAGGGCCAGCCAGCTGGTTCATTAGCATATCTCATCCCCTCTACATCTCTCGAGTTGCGACATCTATTCACGGACTTTGGATTTAATCCTTTTAAAGCAAGACCTGTCGTCACTCCGCAAACAGAATTTGCATAGCTTTCAAAACTAACCAAACATAACACGATGAAGTTTGCTTTTGCGCAAGCATATCTGTGTCAATTGTTTATTTTGTGTTTCTATACAGTAACTAATTTGATGCAGACAGCGATCCATGGTGGCAAGTTTTAGCAAATCAACAAGAAATATTACAAATCAACTGGATAATGGTTTGACGTTCCTTGTATAATAAACCAACCAAAGTAATCTGAATCTTGATTTGTATCTCGCAAGGAAGAACTGAGTTCACTGGAGCAGTGAGGCAAGCGTCAGACAAGTAACTGTAGAAGCTGGTAAGATGAGAGAGCATTGTTCCATTGTACATTGTGCATTTTAGCTTTCATTACTGACATGCAAAGTTGACTTGGATTGAAAATTTCAATTTCGTAGTGTACAAAACATCTTAAAGCAACATAAGAAAATATACTTATTTTGAAAAATGGATAAAAAATAGTACTGTAAACCAAACCCCATACAAAAAAAAATCATTAGAAAAAACCATTTTAGTGTATAAATACGGCGGACAATGTAATTTCGTTAATCGTTTAAACCATTTGGTTAATAAATGTTAGTCAATACTTTTTTTGTTCAATGTCAATGCAGGTTTTATTTTATTTGATAGAATATGCTCTACGGAATTTTTCATAAAAGGAAAATCATTTTGGAAAAGAAAATGTCTACAGTTATTTGAAGTTGAATTGCTGATTTCTATGAGATAGATGGCAAAATTTAACAAAACAAATAACCCTGGTACAGGTACAGAATATGATTTTGATATTAGTTTGTAATTGTTTAATTTCTTCCAACCAAATACATTAAACATCACCGTGGAAAAGTTTGAAGACGACCCGATGATAAGAATCAGAAAGTATAATGTAGTGTGTGAATGTAGCGAATGTGAGAGAGATACGCACAGATATCGCTATTGTTCTGTGGTTTTCATTGTTCAGATATTCGACATGCTCATTCCAGCATTTTAAACAAAGTTAATTGCTAATTACAAACCACTCGGAGGTTTATCAAACAGATGTTTGGGATTAGGTTTCTAGCAAACAGTTTATTCATAACTCCGCAAAGTCGTACCGTACGTGGTTATATTTTTTTAAGCCATCTTGAGTTTATAATGTACAAAAGTTAAAAATATAACTCACCGTATCGAAAGGATATTTTGTTTTGTATATAAAATATGTACCCTAACACACATACAAGTTTTTTTCAAAAACTAATTTTTGTATTGATTGCAAGTTAATGTTTGGTTAAAGGATGAATTTTAAAATAAAGCATCTTAAAGTTTCATGTATGTTAGTTTAAGTTATCCCATATTCATGTTTTTCTACATTTCTAGAGGCGAGGTAAATTATTTTTGTTGTGGTGGCTAAATTTGGAAGAAAGCAATTTATTACTCGTATGGTTATTAGGTCAACCGACATACACAAACCTATTTTGTACTTACAAACGTATGTTCAGTTTTATTCTTTAATTCCCGTTTAAAAGCATCTATGTCCAAGATTAGTGTATAATACAATTCGACAAACTCATTTAATTAAACTTATTTTATTTTTATCGCCATTGATTATTATTAAAAATAATTAATAATAAATAAAAGTATTTTAAAACTACTCATAAGTTAGTGGATGGTACCACAGAAGTCTTTACTGTATTTCTGTACTTAGCTAAAGGGAATTTTCATCGAGTCAGAAGTTCCTACACGTCTTGCAAAACTCATTGCAGTACAGTGCTGTTAAGCGGTGTGCGAGTTTTACTTGAATGCGTTTACTTTTCACTATTCTAGTAGATTCTGGAAAGTGATTGAACTAATTTTGTGTTGTATCTGTCCTGTAAAAAACTTTATGGATCCACTAAACGTAATTTTATCTTTGGATTGTGTAATTATGTAATTTAAGTATGTAATTATTTTCTTATAATTAGCCTATATCTTATTATATTCTTATTTTATGTGATTATGTTATTTTTATTTACTTTTCTTGATTACTTTGTGATGATTGTCTTATTTATTTTATTAATATTAATTTCAAATATTTAATATTGTATTTTTGTTTTCAGAATGTGGTGGACAATTACTGGGAACTTCGGCAACATTCTTCCAATAGATTGGTCAAAGTCCTATGCCAGGAAAATGCACATGCCAACGCTAAATTTAAACGAACACAAGGTATTTGTAATAATTAATAACTATTAGATAGTAAGTAGTTTGACTAGTATCATTATCGAAATATTTAATTGAAAGGGCAACTTATCATAGACTTTGTCCCCATCAAAGTATGGAAAAGATATGGAAAAAAGAAAACTTCAATAATTGTTTAGGCATAGCACACTCAATAAGAATCTCTTAAAAATATATAATTTTTAAATAAAAAGGTCTACAGCTGGTCCATATACAGGGTGTCCAGCAAGTAAACACCCAAACTCCGAGAAATGGTTGTATGTGCTAAAATAAAGAGAAAACCAAGAATAATTTTCCCAAAAGTCAATTTGTTAAACAGATATCTGTTATTTTGTTTTTTACATAAGCATTTTTTTTATCCTTTAATACATTACTGCATTTTTTATCTTATTGGCAACTTTATGGCACAATTTATTTATTTTGTTAATGGTAATACTATGATTTTGATATTTGTAAACAATTGTTTTTACTTCGTAGTGACTACAATGTTAAAGAATAATACTAAATTTTCATTCATCAATTAAAATTATTTTCCCAAGCAACCCGTCATTTTGATTTGTATTTTGTAAAAGATTTAAATACTCAACAATGAATGACAAAATATATATATATATATTCATACATCTAACCACTCTGTAGGATTTAAAGATAGAAAATCATATCGACATGAGTATTGATTAGCTCCGACAAGTCTAATCATATCAGATCAACCCTGTGATCAAACATAAAACATCTGATTTTTAAATTACACAGTTGTAAGATGTCATCCAATCAACTACTGATAGACAGAATGAAAATATTGATGCAGTGTGGTTGGATTAGAAACAGCTGTTCTCTTGAATCCGTTGTTTATTTTTAATTTAGATTTTGTTTGACCACCTAAATGTGTTGTGTACTGTCACTCATCACTAATTGGATTAAATCTAGGCTGGTCCTGTTGTCGATTTCTAAAGATTTTTTACATATTCTGTTTAGAGATATTTCTTCTCTTTAAAAAACACAAAATTATTGAATAATTAATTTGCAAAACTAGAACCCAATCATGTTCAAAAGACCCACAGTTCACATAGAGTTAAATAGATAACTAACTAAATTAATGAAATTAAATTGTTATGTTTTATTGTTCGATATTATTTGTTAAATGAAACTTAATCCAATACAAAATCTATAACTAACTAACCGCTATAAACAAACCTTATTTTTATAACTCAGTTTTGTTAAAAATTCCTATTTTTAATCAATCATCTCAAGCTTTATAAGTCACTTTCATGTTATAATCTTTCTCCTGAAAGATAATTTTAAAATTTGTTCAGGAAGTAAAAAATGAGTAACCATCTAGGAAATATTGGCTTCATTAACCTGATAAGACCTTATTTTTGTATTATAAAACTTAACAATACAATGAGAATTGACATTTCAACAGCATATCTGTCCTATTGTTATAAGGGTATTCAGGCAGAGAAATGTTTGTCACATGACTTTTCTTACGACACAGAGAAGTACACTGAGGAAACATACATATGGGATGACTGTGCCCTTTCAGCTCTAATATTTTGTGCGGGAAAAGTACTTGAGACAAGCAAGGAAGACCCAGACTAGAGAGCACTGTGAGGAAACTCCTATCACACGGGGAAAAGGGTCTTCCTCCAATGTGAGGGTTGTATCACATGAGGGCAAGGAGGTGGTGTTGAACTCTGTCTTAGACACCAGTGACTAAAGCTAGACACCACTGAAGTGCATTGAATGTTTCTCTGTACCTTCTCTGTGCTTAGGATTGATCCAGTGACCTGATTATTAGGGGAACATTGAATCCCTCATTTACCTATTAAAGTGGTCTGTTAAGAAAACACTGTTCTCTTGTTTCCCTGAATCACTAAGCCACTGTTTTTCCATGTTAGCTTGAGCTGTTTATTGACCAAACATTCCGTTGCGCAGGACAAGACCCTACTAGACGAGGGAGAGCTGAGTTCAGAGGACGAGGCCGTAGCTAGTGACCTGGACATGCATTCTCTCATCCTGAGTGGACTCAACCCAGACGCCGAGCCTGTCAAGACAGCCGAGGAAGTCATCAAGGAGATTGACGATATCATGGAGGTCTGTAACAATAAGGAGAGAAAATACTATAGACAAGTATCACATACGTAACGTATATAGTCAAGACATATCCTGTTAAATTACTTATCATAACTTTTTCCCATAATTTCCCAGCTGTTAGAGATTGTTTCAATTAAGCTGAGTTTTCCTAGGCTCGGAAGCAAAGCATGGAACGTGTAGAGCGGAGTGCAGAGAAGCAATTTCGCTCTTGTCCAGTGGCGGTCTGCTACGCTTCTGGGAAAGCAGTGCAATTAAATGACTTAAAACAAGAGGAGAGCCAACCTCTTTCTCCGTTTTGCTCACTCCCTGCGCTCCGCTTTTTCACCTACGAAAACCAGCTTAGAGTGTCGAGTAGGATGCGAATCTGCACAAGAACCCTTACCCCATTTTCACTTCATACAGTTATCCAAACAATTATTTGCCACTATTAATTTCATACCACTATACTCTGTATCTTGTCTCATGACCGGAGGTTTACCTGGAGACTGGCCAATGGCTCAATACCTAGCCCCATGTAGTTGTAGGGTCAGGTGACAGGTTCCATCATATTGAGTATAGTGGTGTGACTCTCAGTGTTGTTGGGAGCCTTTCTGTCATTCCTCCCATACACTGTCCTGATTGCCACGATCAATACAAACAATGAATAGTACAGAGGAGTAATTTCAAACTAATATAAGTTTATGAGACTACTTTAACAGTTACTTTTTTAAATTAGTCGATGACCTTGTTTTATTTTACTCAGTTACTTGATTTGCTTTACCGATCAAACTTAAGCTGTGAGTCAAGTCATACTATATACTATAATATGAACATGTGTTCATTGTAGACTCCATTCAGCCATGGGACGATTGATTAAGAAGATGAGTTGACTCATAGCCTTCTCACGAGCGTTGAGTCATCCTCTCAATGAGCCTCGGCCCACGAAGCTTGATCTTTCTTGGACCCTCATAATGAATGTGGCTCAAACTTGTTACAAGCGTTGAAGAGTATTTAGGACACAAAATAGAAAATTGAACAAGCTTACTCCATTGCAACATTTTGAAGCTTTGAATTCTTGTATTTATGAAGACCTAAAAAGTGTCCTACAAGATTTGCCTCCAATTGGTATCGCTTGTGAGAAGAATAAAGACCCACAAGTAGACCTAAAGAAAATCATTAAGTAGAATTCTAGTACACCGATATAAGTTTTAGCTTGTTGGGATGGTACTCTAAAAATAAAGCTTTGTAATCCCTTCACTCCTCCAAAACAATATTATGCCTTACCTTATTATAGCACTATACTTTCTAAACCACTCTAAAACATGGAAGTAATTACGCCCAGGGATGTCTATTTACAGGTTTTCCATCAATAAACTCTATTATCTTTGCAGGAGACGACTTCTGCTGAATGTACCCCAGACTCAGAAGTAGCCGATGATCTACAAAGGAAGGCAAAGGAAGTTCTTCACTCTCCTTTATATGAAGACAGTTAGTATAAATATGTTATCTTCTACTTTGCCAGCCTAGCTTATTTTGTACAGAACTATTGGATTTGTATAAGAAATATTTTGAACTTTAAATGAAAGATGTTCAAACTCATATACTTTAGTCACTAAACCTTCAATAGTTGAATATGAGAACCATTTATGATTGGGCGAACATCAAGTGACAATTGAGTTCCTTCTTAATAAAAGTAGTTCAGATAGTAGCGGAGGCACAAACTTACGATTCTTCTGAACTTCCAAAGGTAGATATTTCAATGATATTAGGTCAGATAATCGTGGTCGGTACGTTACTAAAGATCTGTCAATAAGGCGGTAACTTTAAATACAATTTATTGAAATAATCACACACCATCTTACACCGGTGATGTTTAATTACTCAGGAAACTAAACTGTTTGAGTTACTATTTCATTGGATGTATTATTTCTTAGGGTAGAATTAAGAGCCATTAAAATTTAGAAGAGAAAAGTTATGGAAGTTAGAAATCTCCAGGGATCGCCGAGGGGCCCAGAAGCCTAAATGTCTTCTGTAATTTGGTATAGGCCTATTTTTCCTATTAAAAAAAGACAATGTCACATTTGTGGATTTTTTTTGCGATCATGACAAATGATGATGTTGTTTTCAAAATTTCTGGGGATGTTCAACATTCTGTCACAATGCTACAATATTATATCTTTTTTTTTGGATTCTATCAATTTCTACATGGTTGCAGGAGATGATGACAATACGTTATGGATCGCAAGGAATGTTCAAAATTTCATTGTAACAGTAGGATTCAATGATAATGTCTTCAACATAGCAGGTGATGTATATGATTTTGCTGCGAACACAGGAGACAGTGATGATTTCTTCGTGATCATGGGAGATTCTCGAAATTTTTACCTTAGCAATCTCGGAGGAAACAAACCAAACCATGGCTTGTCAGCCTTGCTAGAATAAAAAATTAAAGTCAATGGGGAAGTTCACTGTCAACTAACACTGGTAAAACAATAACTAAAAGATGTGGGTTGATAAAGAAAAGTTAAAGCAAGAAGATGGTGCAATTGTTGAAATATAAGATGAAAACATACGGATAGTAGGTATTGTGAGTGAAGGGTCTTAACAAAAGCACACACTTTCAATGAGTGTTGTCTTCCTGCTTTGTAGAATTGAGGTGTCTGTACAAAGCGGTAAAAAATAACTCTTACTCTAAATGATTCATGATTTGTAAAAATAATGAAACTAATTAAACATTCTTTTTCTTATCAGAATTGAAAACTCTAAGTGTCTGTCAACTGAATGACTTGTACTTGGAACTCGAGCTCCTGATTCGAGACTATTCAGAGACACTGATCGCAGAACTCGCTCTAAGAGATGAACTCGAGTTTGAGAAGGAACTCAAGAACTCGTTCATCTCCCTGCTCCTGGCAGTCCAGAACCGCAGGAGACAGCATCATGTGGAGAAGAAGCGAGGAAGGATCGGAAACAACAAACCAGTCGGAACAGAGTCAAAGGTGAGTGACAAAAATATGTGTAAGTTTTTACATAAATTATTGGAGGTCTACATCTGAAAATGGGCTGCGAGATAGGATTGGTTTAGAGTTTCAAGTTTAAACCTCCATATTCACTAATGGCTGTTGGTTGTCGATAATGTCTTGAGATACATGGGGTACATCAAGAGGATGTTATTGGGTAAAGATGTCTTTTGTATTGTGTGAATTGTCACCAAAATTCACCGAGGAAAAAGAAGTGTGCTGACATAAAAGTGCTTTTCCACCTATCTAATGAGATCATCAATGACCAAAGTTGGGGTTCTTAGAACTGGTAACGTGGTTCACTCCTCTTTACACTTTACAACACTTTATGTATAGGTTTGTACTCGCAGGCGGGCTGGCTCAATTTATAACCAAAACTGAAGGTATGCTCCTACGATTTAGATCCTTGTACCTCAATGTATGTTTTTTTGCCATTATACATTCTTCTTACTCATATAAAAGCCATGCTAGGGATATAACTAAATCTACTGTCAGAGAACCAACATTAAAACGACAGTTTATTGTGCTGTTCTATGCAGTTGGTTGCACTGCGTTCTTCGCTCTTGTCTGTCACTGACCCCAGCTGAGCCGTGAGAGCAGATATGAGTTGTTCGTCGTGTGTAGATTTGTCTAACAACTTAGACAGTCGACCTCTCAGCTCAGACAGTGAGGTTTCTAACACTCGGGTCCGAGCCTTCATAGCTTCAATCTTCTTCTGTCTGCCCCAGTTGTTCCTTTAGTGCAGACACTTCTTTCTCCTAACGTTTTTAGACCAAAATGACCTAAACCTTTTTGGAGATAACCTCCAGCCCTCTTCTATGGAATACCCTTCACAAAAAGGAACAATAAGATCAGCACTGAGTGGCAAGAGATTTTGCTACACCAATTGACAGTGGTGAATGGTAGACACCATTCGTGATGGATTAAGTAAAATTTGATACCCTCTGTAGCAAAGGTACAACAAAAAAAAAAGGGTCACTACTTCAATTCTCCAGGACTCATAAGGGCATTTGAATGGACAGACACAACCACTACAGTTGATAGTCACTAAATAAGTGTATCACTGAAAGCAGGGCCGTATTTTCAGAATAGCGAAGAGGTTGCCAGAGGCCTTGCCTGTAAGGAAGTCTCACTTGGCGACCCAAGAACATTTTTTTCTCTTGAAAATTGAATTTCACGGCCCAATTTTCCTATTTTGTGTGTATGCTAATTTGTCAGTAAGAGAGTTTTTGGGTCAAGCTTTTATTTAGTCAAAAATGTCTCCAAAGATTGTATGATTGAAAATCATGATTTTGCAGTGACTGTGGGAGACAACGGTGAAGTCTTGAGGACTATGAAATACGTTCACCATTTCACTGTGACCACAAGATTAAGTGGGATTATCTTTTAGCTAGTCTTGTAGCCTCCTACATCTATTTGACTATCAGATGGTCCAAAACAAAGGGTCTAGTTCATCGAGATGAAGCAACTCCAGTGTTCTAAAGCTGCAGTCACAGAAGAATAAGAATGATCCCCTCATAAAGATGTAAAAAGCATCCTCCGACTGATCCTTACTGTGTTATTATGACTGACTGCGATCTATAAACAGTCACCAATGTTTGCTATCTGTTGTCAGTGTCGTGAAAAAGATCGTTGCCTGTAGAAAATATGAATTTTTAGGTGGATTTTTCAGGACTGCTATAGTAATCATTTATTTTCTAATCTTGTATGTATTTTTACAGTACCTGACCACAGTGATACCATACCACTTGGATAGCGGTCCTCTTGACAACCAAGCACTTCAAGTTCTCATCAAAAGTGAGTTTTTCTCAACTAATAACTGTTTGATTTTGGGACCTTGTTAATTCAGTCTTAGTGTTATAACACTCAACTGAATAATCAAAGCAGTTGATGTGAACCATTGAAGCTAGATAGATATTATATCTAGAGGTAGCATCGGTGGGGGCGATAAAGCCCGCGGGCCCCCCGCAAGTTTGTTCGCCGGGCCACCATTTCCCAATAATCTTTAAAAACATTATCACATGTATTTCTGCCTAAACTTGCACTTAAGCTTAGCACGGCATCTCTTGAGGCACCGAGGCGTCATCATTGTCTTCCATGATCTCGGAAAAATCGTGAATACTTCCCATAGTCATGGAAGAAACATTATCATGGTCTACAATGATTGTAATATTACCGCGGACCCACTATTGACGCCACTAGGTAGCACTGGTTTTGAGTTTGACTACTGGTGCCGTTGGTTTGTGAGGTTGATAAGTTAGTGTGTCGGTAGTTACTATGTCTAGTAGACATATACCATCCAGCAAAAAAAAAAAACAAAAAAAATAAGAATCCCGCTAGCTGGACCTAGGAATTCTTATTTATCTTGCCCAAATGTCACCAATAATAACGTGTTGTATCCTGCATCCCGTTTTAATTCTATCTATGGTCTAGAAAACCCCTTTTTCGGGGCGAAATCCTTCATAAAGAAACACTCAAACCTTTCTCTGAATCCTTCAAATGGCCGTCAACTGCACAATTCCCTCGAGAAGTGCTACTCGGTGATGAACGCTTACAGTCCTTATTAAAATATATGATTTTGGAAGAAGCAGAGTGGGACACCACCCAAAAGGTTCCCGCCCCATTACACTATTGATACTCCTACCCACCACCCTAGTTATCCTCAAGTTATAGCTCATATGGACAGATCGGTTAATAGTTTTGGAGAAGTGTAAACTGAATGAAATCTTGAAATGATAATAATATTACTGTCCAAAAACACCTGATTAATGATGTCACAGCCCAAGAACAGCTGTATGGTAACCTCCATTATTTAAACCTTTTAAAAATTGCTTTGAACAGTTTTTATCAACAAATCTTAATTTATTTACATAAATGATAAGTATTTTAACTAAGTTTTTGTTATTTTCAGTCCTGAAAGCCATCAACGAAGACAGCCCCACTGTACCGACTCTGCTTACTGACTACATCCTGAAAGGTAGGTAAACAGGTAAAATACCTGTGGTAAACCAAATTGTCGTTAACTACCTCAGTTATGACAAATACCAGTTCTTTTTATCAATTTCTCAACATCTACTGTTCTTTCAGGAAAAGGAAAACTTAGTAGGCCTCGGCAAGGAAAAGGGAGCCACAGTGTATTGTACATAAACAATTTGTTTAAACAAATATTGAATTTTTATTTTTTAAACTAGTAGTTTGCGTTTTCTACATGTGATGATGTTATCCAAGATCGCTGGAGATATTCACGATTTTACTGCGATCCCGGGTGACAATGATGAATACCCCTTGATCACTGGAGATGTTCACAATTTCTCCAGGGTCTCAAGAGATCCCCCCAAAATCCTTCAAAATCTATGAAGATGTTCGCAATTTCTCAAGGATCTCGGGAGATTTGCACTATTTCCCTGCGATAGCGGAAAAGTTAGATCCCAGGGAAGGGGACCGCTTGGATTAATTTGACCTAGTATTGCTAGTACCCTAAATCTGGCACTGCTTTCAGGACTCCAAGTATTCATTCCCAAGCAGATAATTTATGTATATATTTATATAATATAATATGTTTGTACTTTAAATGAAGCTCAATCTATCTATATATTAATAGGCAAGCATGTTTCTTTAAAACCTTTTTTCTCAGCTCGTGTGCATCGTAGGGAAAATCTACGCATACCGTTAGAAAGCTATTTTCCTGTAGGTGTGCAGAATCCCTTTATAAATTTAAATAGGCTCAAAGATAAGCACAAAAAATGAGTTTACAAATTTGAAAAAATTACATGGATCTTATGCGTTGCCATGCTGGTGACGAAATAACAACGAAATATAAACAGAAAATCAAAACAAATGGAAGAAACTCCAATCACATGTTTTATTTACAGTGTGGGGTGAAACATTAACATAAGTGAGTACATTACATATTTTTGGTCGAGTTTCGACCACTGGACATTACTCGTTTAGTTAAATATACAAACACAGAATGGAAAAAATCTCCTTAGCAAAGTTGCAAAATGTAATACCAGTTAAAAGTCTGTCTTGCTTGTGATTTGACCAACAATTGAGAAGGTGGAGAGCGCAATGCTCTCTAAGTCATGGTTCCTCTTTTACTGATTTTGTCTTGTATAAAGATAAAAATGTTGCATGTTGGTTTTAATTTTCATCAATTGCTTATTGTTCCAGTGTTATGTCCTACGTAGACTTAGCGGGCAGCTTCGTAGGATCGCTTGAACCTGGCAGCTAAGCTGCCTATAGACTCTACACGCTTGCAACTTGGAAGAAGACATCTTTTCATTGTTTTTAAATAAAGTACTGTATATTTTGTTGGAATATTGTAGATTTAAAATACAATTTTTATGACAAATAGATTTTTTAGGGGCCAAAAGTAAATAGTGCATTGACTGCTGGAAATTACTTATTAAATTGTTTTGTGCCATGTTTTTATAATTTAGTTTTTAGTAAAATTTAAGTTACCTGCATACACGAATTACTAGAACTACTAAGCCACGAAGAACTTAATTTAGTTAATTGAGTGTGAAAGGGTTAAAATTCTGTTTTGGCTGTACAGTATTCACTATTCTGTGTGACTTAATGTCCTATACTTGTGAATTACTTTTCAAAACATAATTGTGATGTTTAGAATTTTTAGCGAAAAAGATTACCATTTCATATAATTACTAAAATATAACCGATTAATGTAGCTAGGTAATTCATCATCATTAATGTAACATTTCATGGACATCATAACTAAAATTAATCTTTAACTTAATTAATTGAGGATTTTATTTTGTAGGTTTATTGGTCGTTAATTATGTGATAACATTTCGCAAAACATTCCATTTTCTCAGTTCATGAATTTTGTCTTCTTCTGATTTTGTGCAATTTACAAGAAAATATAGAAACATCTGAACTATTACATCTACTTATTCTTTTATTTATTTAAATTATTAGATCTCTGTATATTTTGGTACAAATGTTAGCACCATTGTAAATATTCTGTATTTAATTTTATCATTTTAATTTATTAGGGAAGGCACTGTATATATAACCCTGGCCTTTAAGCTTTTGTTAAACCACTAATAAATCTTACTTTGAAATATTTTTTGGCAAAACGTAAATTTTCAGTTTTATAGAAAAGTATTTTTGACAAAAAAATTGTGATCGTTGTGACTGTCTGTCTCCTTATGGAATCGGAAATGCTTTTATTGTCTCGCCTTTCATTGTACATTACGGTTTAGTAAAGCTTTTGCGTAAGTTATTTGTAATCATGTATATAAATAGCAATAGATGTGATAACTAAGACACTTTTATTCTTCTTACTTACAATCATTACTTGTGCAGTTATCAGCAATAATTTCTTCCAAGGCACCTGAATAATCTTCCAACTTTATCCCATAGTTTTAGATATTTTACAGCTGGGATATTCTTTGGGAACAGCAATAGAAATCATTAGAGCTGAAAGATTGAAAAATGTGTTTATCCAGGTTTTTAAATTTATACTTTTTCCTTTTAAGTGCTATTCATTATATAACAGATTAATTTAAAGAACTTTTCAAAGCAAGTTTGTTAAAGGGTAGAACAATCCTTGAAATCTTTAGCTCTGTTGTATGTATACATCCACCATTATAAATGTGTTTCTTGTAAAATGTGATATGATTTAATTTTGTAAATCTCCGTTGTTTTGTATATATTTTTGTAGTTAGTCGTTTTTAATATTTTACCAGGATTTTGTATTTTAATGGTTGTTTTATTATTAATGTTACAAACGAATGATGTTTAGGATCTAAAATTCTCATCTTAAAATATAATTTTGAAAACAACTTATTATGGTTTGCAAACTTAGCACAAACCGGAATGCATTATTTTATCTTTCTACTGTGTTATTTTTGATTGTGGTATAAGATTTTGGAATAATTCTGGAATAAGAATAAACGTTTTAAATATTTTTTCAAGGAAGATACATTTAAATTCGGCTGTCACAAAACACACATTCACAATTAATTCGATACAAGCACCATTGCATTTGAAAATTATTAAAATCTTTGGACCGAGTGCTTCATAAAACATGTCTGTAAGTTTATTGAATATTTCAAGAAAATTTACTCTAAATTTAATAAAATAATTTTTTTTTGTTTCCCTTGATTATTCTAAGAGTATTATTAAAATACCACTGATAAAGTTTACTTTAAAAGGCAATTTTTGTAGCTATTTTTTTACCTAAATTATAACATCTTGCCCAAATATACCTCTTGTTGTATACCTTATAAATGTTCCTTCTGCTTGTGTTTAAAAGTTTGTTTACTCAAGAAAATCTAGTCTATTGTGTTTTGTAAATAGCATTTTAGGTCATAAATAAAACTGTTATATCACCAATGTCTTTTGTTTGTTTATCACCAAACGTTCACAAAACTATTACCTATGAACTAATAACTAATCACTTAACTATGAACTATGTTGTTTTTCTTAAGGGATTGCAGAGTATGCAAATTTAATTATTGTATTATTTATATTTTTTATATTAAGCGTTGGAAAACCTGTGCCTTTTTGCCAATGCTGGTTTTGGATATTTTGGTGCGTTTTGCAAGATGGATTGGCAAATTCTTGTTCTTTTACATAATTGGTTTTTAAATTTTATTTTGTGTACTCAGTTTTTACCCTAATGAAGGGATAATTTTGTTCCTCTTGAAACTGTTGCACTCGGGTCCTCTCACTATGAATGTCTCACTATGTCAGAGCTGAGTTTTGACAGTTTGGAAAAATAAATCATCCAAATATCTGGAACTTAAAATCTCCAAATACATAGTCAATGATGACTATTAGTCCACAAAGATTTTGTTTAGGCTATATATTAAATTTTACTATGGAGGAAAGTGGCTAATTGGCTAAAAAATATCCTTTTCCCAAAGCAGCAAACCTAAATGCGCGTTGAACATAATTAGGAAAATATAAAATAGAGAATAAATCTGACGTGTTTAAGGACATATTTTAATACAAATCCAATTATGAGTGATCGAGTGATGGAAAGTCTTTTTAAGCAAATTCTTACAAATATCCCAAAGAAAACATTATTACGGTCCTTTGAACCAAATTAAACACAAGATAAAATAACCAGTAAAATTCTTCTTTTATTACCTGTGTCCAATACACTTGCCATCCCATTGGATTGTTTCTGGGAATATTTTAAAATGCAAACCATGTCTTCCCACATTGGCAGTGATCAGTGACAGTAAATCTGTCTGTCAGACCAGCTGATTGTCAGCTGATAAATCTGATTATGCAAACAGCTGTAAAACAATCAGCTGTGGCTGTCCTCCCCACCTGTTTATGGCAATGTCACCACACACAATCAGACAAACCTGATTTCCAATGTAAATTCTTTCTTTGTATGACCCCTTGGCCGTTTGATCAGTTAGAGGGTAAATGTTTCTGAATTCTTGCTTTTCCTCAAGTCCAGAGATTCGGCTAAGTTGTCGTTTATTGTCAAATTTGAAAAATTTGGTGTTTTCAGGGGTTTAACGCTTTAAATATTGGATGAGGAGGTTTAAGAGATTGATAGTTGATTCATAGTTGGACATAGTTGATGAGTCAGTAGCGCCACAAACTTTGGACACAAGGCAGCGATGTTGTGTGGGTTCAGGGCCTGGTACCTACCGCAACTTTATATCAGTAAACTTCACCCTTGGATTGTTCAGTAACATCCCTTGCTTTGCTGGATAGTTCCAGCACAGTCCTCTTTGATGTGGATGAAAAAATGCAAGGTAAGAGGCCATCAACCTCTTTTAATAAAAACTACTTTTTCTTTATGTGCTTACTGCTTACTTACTTAGTTCAACTTTTCATGTTGTTTTGTTCATGGCATTTTGGAGTAAGAGGTCATACTGAATTTATTAAAACTCTGTTTAAAGAGATAAGTAAATAAAAAGACCTTCATTTACAAGCGAGTTTCACTATAAATTTTATTCAAACTGTTTTTCAACCTAATGTCTAAATAAGTTATGACTTTCCTACATCTTCTACATTAACAATATATTAACAAAACCCAACCTAAATTAACCTAACTCTAAACAGTAGTTGTAACAATTATCCTACACTATTTGTAAAAACCACCAGTTTGCCCTTTTTTCCATTGATTCATCAGCAGATTTTCTCATAATGCATTTAGTGTGAAAGTAACTGCACCACTACTTATTAAGCTGTCAATTCAAAATGCATTTACTTGAGCTGTCGAGTTCATTTGGAAAATGGGACATAAGTTAAATGCCAACAGAAAGACCAGAAGCAACAAGCTGACAGGAGATTATGGGGAGTTATTGAGGTTATGTTCTCCTGCGGCGCCGTTTCCCGCCACGCCACGAAGGTCAGCTGATCTATGTGCGAGTGCGTCTGTAGGCAGACTACGGGATAATTGATTACATCGTCCCACGCTTGACCGCGTCGCCCAGTTCACCTCTCATAAAGTCGTCAGTTCTCAATGGATTAGTAATTGCTCGTTGCACAACACAAGAGTGAATTACCTATGTAGTTGCGTTTGTATAATACAACACAGACCTTCACTTGCAGTATGATTAAATGAGGAAATATTGTCCGGACAGGGTTGCTGATAAGGTGCCACCACGACAACCCACCACCTCAAAAATACAGAGTTTACGGATTGACGTCTACTTATCCGTGAATTGTGTTTGTACCGTCTAAATTGAAATAAATAGCATGACAAGTCATCGATTAAAAAAAAACTTGAAAAAACTAACGAACTTAAGGGTGTTAAAAAATACAGGGATTTAACAAAATAGAGACCCTTACAATACGATTGAACTGATGATATTCAGTCCGGAGTAAAACAAATGAGCGTTATACGTCTAGGTACCACTGTGTAACAAACCAAGTAAAAGTTTTAGGCTGTGCTTCGATCCTAACAAATTAACAAAATCCAGCCTAAATTAACCTAACGCCGAACAGTAGTTGTAACAATTACAACATTTCAACCCAAAAAGAAACACAGTGGTAGTGAACTAACGGGGGCGATGTCTACTTGTACCGGCGTCTAGTTGTACCTGCTGCATTTTGGTGACAGGCGTCTAGTTGTACCCCGTCCAAAGCTGTAGGGACAACTTGACGATGGTGCGGACATCTAGTTGTACCTACGTCTAGTTGTCTCTACGTCTAGTTGTACCTCTTAAAAATCTACAGGTACAACTAGTCGGGAACGCCACCGTCTACTTGTACCTCATACGTCTGCGTCTACTTGTACCTACGACTACTTGTACCTACGACTACTTGTACCTACGACTACTTGTACCTACGACTACTTGTACCTACGACTACTTGTACCTACGACTACTTGTACCTACGACTACTTGTACCTACGTCTAGTTGTATCTGCGGCTAGTTGTATCTCCCCTTCAACTTGTCACCAGTTTAAGGGATTTATTTTATTTCTTTAAAAATCATACAATCTTACAACAATTTATTATAAACAACTTGCTACAAAAGCCAGGAAAATTTTGCTTGTCTGCAGCTCATTGAGAAACCCCTGTTCTTGATAACAACGTACTTTTGTCCCTTGGTTAGTCCTTATCCAACGAATAATATACATATTACACTTTGGTTTTCCTTATTTCTTGTCAAGATCTGCTATCATTGTTTTTTCCACTTAAACTCTACCTTTCTATAGAAAACTAACATTAACTAGCTTAAACAACAACTTTAAACAATTATCTTAAATAAATAAATTCAGAGTTTAAAAAAACAAGTAATTGAGTATAATAAAGTGTTTTTGTACGGTATTAGCCACGGAGAATATTACAACAAGTTCAAATTAAAAATGTATATGTTATTCTTATGGATATTACGTAAACTGGCGTAGTTTGGTAGTTGATGCATATACTTTGACAAATTAGTTTATTTCACACTTAACTACTAACTTTTCTCAAAAACACATCTTAATTACCTTCTACGCAAACGTAATTAAAGCTCAGTATTGAAATACCATTGAAAAAATAACCCAGATATGAGGGGCCATTTTTTCCTTTTTTTTTAGCAAACATTATAGCTTAACTGGTCCCCACGCACAGGCTTCGCATATGTGGGCCCTGTAGATTTTCAGAAATTACGTTCATTCTGTATCTATTATTCTTTTGTTATGAATTGCTTTTGATTTTATTTATTTGATTTAATTTTACTATGGTATTTTGCCGGACAAACTCCATTAAACATATAGCACGGGTCGAGGTTAATTTAACAACTTAAAACTAATTCATTCAACAATAGTTTGCCTGAAAACTATTTTACTAAAATTTGTTTAAAGTTTTACAGAATACACTTACACATGATGCTATTGTATGTTTTTATTTATACATGATATAGGTACTTACAACAAAACTTGTGAATTTTTGTGTTTATTTATACATTTATTGTAGGACAACAACGTAAACTTAAAGATAGGAGCGAGTGTATGCAATTCCAAGATAGAGCTTAGTATTCACCGATCCTATGATAGTTTAAGAGTACATTTCGTAGCTAGGGCCGAAAATGACTTTTTTCAGCTCGGGATCATTTTTAAGTTCGAGACGAAGATGAAATCGGTCCGTGGTACGATTGCTGTTTTTCACCAAACTATACAAAACTGAGAAAATATATCAATAATGTAGGCAAGCATGTTTCTTTACAACATTTTATCAGATCGTGAACATCACAGAGAAAATATCCGCATATCGGTGGAAATGTATTTTCCTGTCGATCTGCAGAATGCCTTTATAAATTAAAATAGGCTAAAAAGACATAAAAAAAGAATTACAAATGTTTAAAACTAACATGGGTTTAACGGGTTGCTATGCTGGTGACGAAATAACAACTAATTATGAAAATAAAATCAAAACAAATGGAACATATTCCAATCACATTTATTATTTACAGTGTATGTTAAATGGAGAAGTATGTGTAGTACATTGCATAGTTTTTGTCGAGTTTTCAACCGCTGGACCTCAACTTCATTGTACACTTCATTGTTCATTGATCACTGGGAAATCCATTGTAAGCTATAAGAAATGCACACTAATCAATGCAAATACTTTAAGGTTATGTGAAAAAATATTTAAAGGAATCAGCAAAAATAGTAATACATAATTGCTGGGCAGCGGTCTATTGCAATTCATTCCGTATACTGCTTGTATATTTAATGATATATAAATGTTTTAATTAAATAAGCGATTTTCGGTACTAGGGCTGGAAAATTTTAATCACAACTATAGCTGCCATTTCGACCCTGGACAGCAATGCGTAGCTTTCAGCCTCCAATAAACGTCTGTAAAACTACTAAAACATCGTATTGCGGTGAAAAATATTTGCCAATCATACTCAATCTACTCGGAACACTG